AGCTTTTTCTCAGCTTCACATTGGGGGTAGGAAATCCCCGAGGGAAACAAGCTGCACAGTGGGAGAGAGGGACCAGTCTGGAACTCCACCTATCTATAAAGGAAATGGATCACCAATCCCTGACCCAAGCTAATCAACCAAAGGAGTATTCTGCATTTGAGTCACACGACCAAGGGAACCTGGTGAATGCTTCTCTTTCCAGGCACCTGCTTGGGTGGCAGAAGACTGATTCAAGGGGCTGGGGAGATGGCTCAGTCAGGAAAGGAGTTGCCATGTAGCATCAGGACTTGAGTTCAATCCCCAGAACCATTAAAAAAGCCAGGCGTGGGGCCAACAGCTATGGCTCAGCAGGAAAAGGTGCTGGCTGCCAAACCTAACGACCTGAATTCAATTCCTGGGACCCAGATGGCAGAATGAGAGAATCAACTCCTACAAGTTGTTCTCTGGCCCCCATACTTGAGATGTGGCACATGTGTACGCGCGCGCGCACACACACACACACACACACACACACACACACACACACACACACAAAAAAAAAAAAAAAAAAAAAACTAAATAAACAAAGTTAAAGCCAGGTGTGGCAGTGGGCACTTTTAACCTTAACTCTGGAGAGCCAGAGACAAGCTACTGGGCTATTGGGTAGATAAAATATCCCGGGGCTCGATGGCCGGCAAAACTGGCTTACTTGGCAAGCTCTCAGCCAGTGAGAGACCTTGTTAAAAAAAAAAAAAAAAAAAAAAAACACACATGAAAGAAGGGACTTGCTGTAAAGAACAAAAAAAGTTCAAGGGGCATGCAGGGGTGAGGACAAGAGAAGGTAATGGGGGAGTGTGCGTGTGCATGTGGAATTGTCAAAGAATAACAAGTTCAAAACAAAAATGTGACTGTCTGATTCCACCCTGGAAACAGAAACAAAACCAGGGAGGCAAGAAAAGATCTCCTAGATATAAGACAGAGACTGGAGAGATGTTCAGTGGTTAAGACTGCTCTTCCAGAGGACCCAGGTTCAACCCCCAGCACCCAAATGGCCACTCACAACCATCTGTAACTCCAGTTCCAAGGAGATCAGACACCCTCTTCTGCTCTCCACGGGCACTGTATACACATAGCTCAGAGATATACATGAAGGCAAAACACCCATACATGTTTAATAAAAGTAAATAAATCTAAAAAAAAAATGGTAAAGATTCAGACCAAAGCCCAGAGTACATTCCTTCAAGCTGGAGGTTTCAGGCTGTCCTCAACAACTCAACCACCCTAAGTCAGGAGCCAAGGGCCCCAAAGACCAAGAAAGGGTCATCCAGGAGCTCAGTCCCGGCAGGACGGACAAACCAGCAAAGCGCAGCAGCAGCAATGGATGAGAACAGCCTTGGAACCCTCCATCTGTGCTGAACAAATCAGTGTGCTGTGAGCACTGTGGTTTTAAATCCCTGGAAAGCAGTTAACTTCATACAATGGGGAAATTTCCTAGCCAGAGAGTCAAACCACAGCTGCAGAATAAACCATGACAGACACAAAGAGACCAGAGACAACAGACCCCAAGACCAGCTACATACAAGATCCCCACCCAGAATCTTTAGGCAAGCCCAGCTCCTTCCTTTCCTATCTGACCCTGCCTTTGGAGTCTGGACACAAAAGTCACAGGCTGGGAACTTCCTGAGCTGAATTCAAAGAGTTTTTCAAAAGATGGTGTCTGAAGTAGGGGATGCCTTCTGATGGTGAGTCACAGAGTTCACCGAGGATGGTTCAGGGTCTGCTCTGGGCCTGCCTGAGGCTCTCTCCCCGACAACTCACAACTCCAATAGCCAAAGCACAACAGACTGCTTGATCTCTCTCTCTCTCTCTCTCTCTCTCTCTCTCTCTCTCTCTCTCTCTCTACCTCTCCCTCATCTCTCTCTCTCCCTCTTCTCCTCCCTCCCCCACCTCAGCCTCCTTCTACCATTTGGCTCTCTGCTAGAGTCTCCCCGTCTCATGGTCCATCTCCACTCCCTGACCCTCTGCATCTCCACTCACTCCTCAGCACTGCCATCTGCTGTCACCCCACCTCTCCAGAACTGGCCTTAGTCATAACCCAGCAAACACCAGGCCACTCTGCACAGTGTTCCTCTGTGCAGTCCACATCACACTTGGCCTCACCCCAGCAACTGGCTCAGCTGTCCATCCCTCACTGCGGAGTGCTCTTTCCTCTGTGTCTATGGGCAGCTTCTTCCACCATACCATCCCAAGAACATCTCCTCTTCCCACTCCACACCCTCCTTAGACAGCTGCCCGGCCTGTGAACACAGCATGAACAACCTGACCCTTTTCCTCCCAGCTAAACTATCCCACCTCAGAAAAACGCTTGCACCAAGTTCCATCGCTCCAGACCTCAGGACCATTCTTGCCTCTCTCTTCGAATCACCTTGTCTCATCAACCTATCACCTGAGAACTCTGAGCTCTACCTACTTCCAAATAACCCTGCTGGTACCCTGGGCAAAATCCCACCCTCTTCCCCTGTCCTCCAACAGCAGCCTCCAGTACATCTGCTGCTTCACACTGTTCTGGTCCTTGCAGAGTCAGGGTGAATGCTTGCAGGCCCCAACACAGCCAGGGGTGGTGGACACCTCTGATCTCTGCACTCGGGAGGCCAAAGCCAGAAGGGTCAACAGTCTGAGTTACATAGGAAGACCTTGTCTAAAAGAAAACAAAAACAAAACAACACCTTCCAGTGCCCTTAATTAGGAAAAAAAAATGTAAAATCTTTAGCAAAACTTCTGCTTGACCTATAGTCTGCCTTCAGGTCTAGACTCTTCACCCCTATCTCAGGATATTCCAGCACTTATGGTCTTTTCCAGTTCCTCTCTCTTCTTCTACCTCCTCTCTGGGATCCCTGAGCTGCTCTGTGCCTCTGGTCAGGTGCAGGTACCATTGGGCAATCTGAAGCAGGGCCCAAGACTCAGCATTTCTGAGAGGCTCACCAATACTGCTAGTGTGACTTGTCCCTTTACCTCACTTTGAGTAGCAAGGGTCTCGAACGCCACTATGACTCTACCTTGATGTAAGTCTCCCTCAACTCTCAGGGCCAGCTGAAATAGCATGTCCTCCAAGAAGCCCTGTCTGTTGCTCTCCAAAATCTCCTCAAGGCCTGCCCCTTTATCCTCCCTGAGGGATATGGGGCTTCCCCTGGGAACATTCACCTCCCCTAACTGTCCATCCCTCTTTCTTATCTTTCCTTTATCAACTTCTGGCTCCCTGGGTGAACTATGAACTCCAAGAAAAAAAGAAAGCTCAGTATCTTTTTCATCCCTGGGTCACTAAGCACCCACCCAGCCCTGGGCCTCTGGGTTCAGCAGCCCCTGCAAGGGGCCCTGCCCACTCTGTGTCCATTTCCCCTCTTAGAGGGGTGCTTCAGTTTTCCTTCCAGGAGCCACCCCAGTCCTTCTCTCAGTTTCCCTGGTGTAGGTCATGAGACTCAAGCCTGTCCAATCACAGCATTCCATTTGTCTAGCCAGTGGGCTTCCTCCCTGGGACTCTGTCAGAACTACTGGCAAAAAGCTATTCTTTTTCCATGAGAGCTACTTATCTCATAGGAGATGCCGTCACGATCCTGCCACCACTGAAGCAGAGCTTAACGAGGAATGAATCACGTCACAGAAGAGAAAGGGGAAGAGGCAGGCTCCCCCAGATGAGGCCATGCCTGGGAAAGTTCCTAAGCATAAGTGAATAGTGTTTCTGTCACTTGCAACCAAGAGTCCTGACTAATGCAATTCTCAAATAAACACTGGGTGTTGAATGAATTAAACAGTCATGCAAGTGGAGCGTGCCAAGAGAACCCTCTGACTCCTAGGCTTCCTCATTATCCCTGTAAACTCTTGCTGTCCATGAGCAGAGACAATCTTCCCACGGCCAACTCTGCAGACCGAAGGGCTGAAACTCAGATGGGCCACATCCTCCTCTGTGCCAGCCAACCAACCCCAGCAGTTGGGTCATATACTATCCCAGACTAGGCTGACTTTGGATGCCCAGGCATTCTCACCAAGAAAAGAGTTGTACCATCCATCTTGTGCCCTGTCCCACATCCCACCTGCCTCTGAATGCCTGCCCCAACTAGGGCTCTGCTGTCATTATCAATATTCTCACAAATGCCATGCTGCTCAGTGTGAGGTAGATACATGCCATGGGATGGAGTTTATCTGCTGTCTTTAGGGTGTCAGGAAAAGGGGGAGCCGCCCAGAGCAGCAGGGAAGAGATGCCAATTACTACTTGTGAATCATCTCAGAGCAGAGCCACAGGAGCGACATACCAACAGGCCCTGAGGGCCCTTCAGATGACACGGGAAGCAGGAGACTTCCTCAGATCTAGTCTTTACCCAACAAAGTGTGAAGGTGGGCGTTGGGGGTGAGGTGCAGCTGAGCCAACATGAGGTTGTCATCCCATGGAAGTTGGAGGTGGAGACCGAAAGCAGAAGGGCATGGAAAGGGGGCAAAGTCTCCTTTCTGGGAAGGGGAGGTCCTAGGCTTGGAACCAAAGAAAGAGCTCTCTCCAAAACAGGCAGCTTTCCCACAGAGACTGGGGTAACAAAGCCATCTTAGAGGGGCCTATCAAAAACAGGCAGACTGGCATTCAAATGCTCTCCAAGTCCTAGAGGGCCCTCCTAGCCCCCGCCTATCTCGGATGGCAGTGTCTTTAATACCCAGCCACCTTCTGTCCCCTCTACTTCATCCCATGTGGACTCCCTGTCCTCAATCCCACCATTCCACACGGCTTCTCACTCCAGCAGCCTGCCAACCCCACTGCGGCCTGGTCTGTTTCTTCACTGCCCCTTGACACAGACGCCACGTCAGCCATACTGTTCTCCCACTCCACCCGACTTAACAAGACACGGTCTTCTGAAGCGTTGGGCCCTCTGTGGCCGCACGGGGACAGAAGCAGCTGCACATGAAGCTAAAACAGCCTCGAGGCCACACGATGCTCCCAGGCATTCCCCCCATACACTTCCTGGCTCTGAGCCTCTTACCTTCATGGTTGGGGGTGCGGTGAGAGGGGGGGACAGTGGCCGGTCTGGGAGGGTCACATCCGAGCTGTTGGCCAGCTCCTGCTTCCTGCAAAGAGACCAAAGGACACAGAAGCTGTGAACAAGGGCTGTCTTGAACCTCCCCTCTGTGATCTAGGGGTAGCTGAGCCTGAAGACGTAGCGGATGATGCAGAAAACTGAAGTTGACTGCATTTCTTCACTGGAATGGACTAACATCCAAAGCAGGACTGTGGCAAGGGCAGGCCCTGGTCCATCAGGACATGTGAGTCCTCAGGGGCGTGCCAGAACCTCCAAGGATGGACCCCCAAGAATCTGCTTTACCTAGCTTCTCACATGGTTCAGATGTACCCAAAGTCTCAGAACTACCAGTTCTAAAAGACACAGGCCTAGGCTCAGAGGGAGATGGGGAAAGGGGTCATCACGTGGAATTCACGTTCCCATGGGTGCTTCTGTCCATTCGGACACGCACTACACACACACACACACACACACACACACACACACACACACACACACGCCTGCACACATGCACACGCGCGCGCGCACATACACACACCCTGGCCACAGACCCAACCTTGGGAGGACCTGCTGTGGAAGCTGCAGGTAAAACTTATTTTAGTCCATGTGGGGTAGGACCAGGTTTGAGGCAGCTAAACAGAGTTGTGTCACCATGGAAACGCTCCTCTCACATACTCCCCACTTGCCATCTGGCCCTTGCTGGTGACCAGGGAGAGCTTGTTTGCTGTCCCATCACCAGGCAGACTGCTTAGGTTGGGAGAAATCTCCACAGCGAGTTATGCAACAGGGCCATCTGGGCAGAGATGGGGGATTCCCCCAGTGGGCCAGGGACTCTGATATGCCCTGGAGGGGAGGAATGGAAAGTCAAGACAATAATCCTGAGAGCCTACAAAGATCCAAACTGAGCTGTTAAAGCTCCTAGCTTCACAGGAGCCCCACCCTGAAGCACCCAACAGGCAGCCCATTGCCCATGTCTGTGTTAAATGACCAAGACCCACCATTCCCCATTGGAGAGAACACTCTGTACCTCTTCTCAGCTCATGGCCTCCCAGTAGTAGGGACAGCCCCAATCCAGATTGCTTCATGAAGGAAACCCACATCCCCTCGAGCCATACTCCCCAACTTTCCAGAGAGAAATCCCAGTCCTTGAGCCCAAATACAGTCTCACACCAGCTCTCCAAGATCACAGGCCAAGACAGTCTAATAACACTTCTTGAGAAACCTGGCTAGGACAGGGCCATGCTGTCTATCACAGAGACCTTTGCTTTGTTTGCAGCCAGCCACCCGCTCTGTCCTCTAAGCAGCCAGACAGGGAGGCTGGTGAACATCTGGTTTGGCTCAGGATCCACATGACTCCACTAACCTCAACCCCAGCCAGCTCCCTTTCTCCCCTCCATCTGCCTGTGTCCTTACTTCTTCCTGCATCTCTGTAAGAGGATTTAAGTGGAAGCAGTCTCCTCCCTCCTAGTCCAGACTGTTATTGGCCCAAGAACCAGAAAGGACAATATTCAGCAATGTGGGGGGGGGGGGGGGGGATTGCGCGCTGCGCGCGCGCGCGCACACACACACACACACACACACACACACACACACACACACACACACACACACACCACACAAATGCAGGAGCTTTGTCTGACTCTCAACACAAGCTACCAGCCTCATTTTCCATGTGTAACTCGGCCCTGCCCTCACCTGTCTCCTGATGAAGCTGGCCCAGCCCAGCCTCTGCCCTGTGCCTCTCCCTCTGCCACTCATCCCTCTTTCAAGCAGCCACTGCTCCTCTCATGGGCCTGGCCCCTGAAAGCCAGAAAGGGGAAGAAGGAAGGTTGGTCTAGGGTGGGAAATACCACACTCGGGTACCCCAAGATAAAGATAAGGGCAACTCCCTTGGGAGCTGGGAGGCTGGCAGGGAATGGAGAAGAGGCAACTCCCCCATGAGAGAACACAGGCTGCCCTGGGCTCAACCAAGACCTTCCAGCCATGCCTTGGTAGATAGACGGTTCCAAGTACACCCATAATAGAGGCACACTCGCCATCCCTCTTGGCACATTTCTTGGCTCCAACCCTTCCTCCAATTTAAGAGCTAAATGTCTATTGTCGGTTAAACTGTGTCCCCTCGGGCTGGAGAGATGGTTCAGAGGTTAAAAGCACTGACTGCTCTTCCAGAGGTCCTGAGTTCAATTCCCAGCAACCACATGGTGGTTCACAACCATCTGTGATGAGATCTGGCGCCCTCTTCTGGCCTTTAGGCATACATGCAGACAGACCACTGTATACGTGATAAATAAATCTTAAAAAAAAAAAAAAAACTGTGTCCCCTCAAAAAGAGGGTAAGTTGACATCTCAATCTTCAACACCTATGAGTGGGGCCTTATTTGAAAACAGAGTCTCTGCAGATGTGATCGAGATGGGCCTTTAGCACGCCCCCCAGCGGCCATGTAAGAAGAGAAGGCAACTGTAAAGTTACAGACCCACGTCTCCACCAGGGCATGATGGACTTAGACTGTGAGGTGATGTGGCTGCGGGTGGAGGAATGCTACAGATTGCACCAACCGTCAGGAACTGGAAGAGTCAGAGAGGACTCTTCCCATGGTCACCAAGTGAGTGTGTTTCTACAGACATTTCCTTGGAGTCCCAACTTCCAGAACTGAGAAAAGACATGTCTGTTGCCTCTAGCCAGATCTAGCACTTGGTACCAGCAGCCCTGGGAAAGTAATAACATACCCCAGGCTCTCACCTCCACCCTTGCCCTTATGATGGAAAGATCAGAATGAAGAAGGTGAACTCCCAGCTTCTACCACGACCCCACCCCCCTACTCTGATCAGCTGAGCCCGACCTTGTCCTGCCCCAGCCCTCATGACAATGACATTTACATGCGAGCTATTGCCACCCCCAGGCCAGACCCAGCCACCAGCTGGCACAAAGATAAGATAAGGTGAGAGCTTCACGTGCAGTACAGTTCCTGCTTTTTCTCTCTCCCTCAGCAAACACATCACACATGAGGAGGTGAAACTGGCGTGATTCTATCCAGGGATAACCTTGACCACTCTCATTTGTTATAAGCAGAAGGTAAATCATTAGCAGAAGTAACAGGTTTCTTGTGATCCACAGTGTCGTGATTCTGAGAGGGGAAATTGCCCCTCCCACTGACCCAGACAAACACGAACATGCTGTAAGGACACAGGGCCCCATATTTATCCAGGAAACACATAAAGGAAGGCGCTTGTGACAGGGACAGGTGGTGGAGAGGAGAAGGGAAGAGGAAGCTGGAGAGAAGGCAGGGGGGTGAGGAGGAAGATTCTCCTCTCAGCTGAAATAGAGAGGCCTGCAGGCACTGGATGGGCAGGCAGGTCACCCGGGGGTTCACCCGGGGGTTCTGGAGGCACTGACCACTCAGCATCTCTGCTGCAGAGCCTAATGGGCTAAAGCTCTCCACTCTGAGACTGGCTCCTAGAAGCACAGGGGATCCCAGGGCAGAGGGGAGGGTGCAGGGTGGCCAGAAGGGGTCCCACCTGGCTTTAGCAAAATGCAGTCTAGGCAGATTAGAACAGAGCATCCTAGAGCAGAGATGGATTCACCTAGGTAGAGCTGGGCAGAGCCCTTAGGAGGTCCCTACGATGGCACCTCCGCATGCAGGGTCCGTGTCTCTACCCTCAAAAGGCTGTGACCTGGGCCTCTTGCAACAGCACTCGGTCTTTTGCACACCACTATGCAGTGTCCTACAGTTAGAATCAAGGGAGTCCTGGGTTCAAGTTTGGTCCTTCCTGCTACTCTGCCACAGGACCTCACCTCTCTGCCTCGGTGCCTTCAACTGCAAACACAGGAGTAGTGATGTTCTGAGGAATTAAAAGCAATGCTGTGGAATAAGAAAACGAAGTTCTGTACAAATTTGGACTAGGGTAGTAACAATATGATTCATAAAATGGTGATCTGGGACCAGCAAGATGGCTCAGTGGGCAAAGCCACAGAAGCCTCATGACCTGGGTTCAACCTCCAAGGCCCCACATGGTAGAAGAAAAGAACTGACTCCCACAAGTTGTCCTCTGACTTCCAGCTGCACGCTGTGGCATGTGGGCACACCAATGCACACGTGCACACCAATGTACACGCGCACACAAAGAGGTGCATGCACTGGAGCGCACTTAATTTAAAAAAAAAAAAAAAAACCCTGCCAGGAAGTGGTGGCGCACACCTTTAATCTCAGCACTCGGGAGGCAGAGCCAGGCAAATCTCTGTGAGTTCGAGGCCAGCCTGGTCTACAAAGTGAGTCCCAGGACAGGCTCCAAAGCTACACAGAGAAACCCTGTCTCCAAAAAAAAAAAAAAACAACCTAAGATATCAATCAATAAATAAAACAATGTGGTGATCTAGCCTCCAAGTGGAGAAAGAGAAGCAAGGAGCCAGGCTGTTTAAATGTCTTGAAAAACATTTCTGTCATCTCAAATAAAGCAACAGTCCTGGCCCCTGGAGATTTGCTCTCAGGATCATAACCACCCACTGGTTAATAATCAACAGCAAGAAAATACCCACCTAGTAACACATGGCCCTGGGGCCAGGTGCAAGGCCTCCCTCTGGCAGAGTTCTCACAAACCTTCATCTTCCACCACCCCAGCTCCCCAGCCACCCAACTTATACTGCTTTCCAAATTAGCCAAACTAGAGGAATCCAGACAGCTGTATGCTTTGACTAGCTTCTCAAGAAAATAAAACAAAAACGGATGTAAAACAAGAGTCACAGGAGCAAAAGGCAGAAGTGCCCCAGCCAATGAGTGATGGGCCAAATGCAAGCGGTCTATAAAATGGAATATTGTTCCACCATAAACAGGAAGGAGGCATGGATATACAGATGAACCTGAAAGCATAACGCTAAGTGAAAACAGCCAGTCAAAGAGAGACACGCTAGGTCAGTGGTTCTCAGCCTATGGGTCGTGACCCCTTTGGGGGTCGAACAGTCAGGGTACCTAAGAACATCAGAAAACACAGATATTTACATTATGATTCCTAACAGTAACAAAATCACAGTCATAAAATAGCAATAAAAATCAT